GAATAGGCAAGAAGGAGAAAGGGCACTAGTTCAATAGAAATAGAACCAATTGAATGGAAATGAGAATCATGCCCCATTGTGGAAATTGTAACCAATGTCTCAGAACAAACTATAAAACGTGTTAAGTGGGCACCTAATTCCACGTCCCTGGCATGAAGCCTGTTACCCATGCTACACCATGCTTCAAGACAAAATTTCCTTTATTTGTCATTAGAAATAAATAGTTCACAATCTATAATTACATATTGTTTTTGTGACTCATCACTATGCTTTAATGATGTTCAATTTGTAACAATGAAAATGCATCCTGCCTATCAGATATTTGCATGACATTTCATCACAGTCATGTAAAATGAGCAAAATGAGTTATGAAGTAGCAAGGAAAATAATTTTATGGTTGTAGGTCACCACCACATGAGGAACTGTATGAAAGGGTCGTGGCATTAGGGGGTTGAGAACCACTGCTCTAGCCTACATCCGGGTTAAATTGTAGGCGGCTGTTTTGGGAGCTTTCCTGGGTCATCCCAATGCCCCACCTCACCCCACTCTCCACCCCCGCAGGGAAACACTGAATTACATCTGCTCATTTGGTGAGTTTCCAAAGGCCAACTTGCTGCTGTGCTGAGAAGGAAAAAAGAAAAGAAACCAAATCTTTTTAAGCGATCACTGAAAATATTTTCACACTACATTGTGTGATCACTCAGAGACAATAGCAAAGCACACACAAAATGTCCAGTCTTTGCAGAAAGAAATAAAAAGCACATTTATTGATCTCTTACAAACCCTGCCTAATCTCAGGCCCCAAGTGTGTCCCTTCTTGGACACGAGTGACCACCATCTTCAGCCCCTCGCTGCCCCTCAGTCTAGCTGTGCTGTGCTGTGCTGTGCCGGCTTCGTTTCTCCTGCGGCTTTTCCCTCCTTCGTGAGAACTGCTCTAAATGGAAGATTACAGGAGAGGCCATGTAATCCATGAGACTACTAAACACATGGACGATGGCATTGGAAGTCATTGGAAGGATGAATTTACTTCTGTGGGTAAGGCTGGACAACTGTTTAAAAGTAGGACCTACGCATCACCAGCTCATACTTCAATTTCCCAAAGGAACGATCGCTGGACTAGAGGCACTGGACGAAACATAGAATCTTCAGAGGAGAATCTCCCAGCATGAAACCCAGAGCTGAGAACCTAAAACAGCAATGTCATGACGCCATAAAAAAACTTCAGATGGATGAAGTCCCTTAACTAAAAGCTGAGTCATTATAGAAAGCATCCCAGGTGACTCAGCAGACAGTTCCTTGGCGAGCTGCGGAACAGTAGGGCTGGCGATCTGCTTCCAGGCAGTGGGGCAATTTCCTCCATCACAGCGAGTCCAAGTCAACTCACCAGCGCCTAACAACGAGAGACAAAAAGTTATAAAAAGCAAAACAAGAAAGAATTGATGAACAGGAGAAATATTTGCAGCATATATGGAAAAGGAAAATTAATATTTAAAGGGCATGTGGATTAGTAAGCAAAATATAATACCTCACCTGAAAAATGGGCAAACTATTATAGGTAATGCATTTTAAAAAGCGAAAGTGTCTGTAGTAAAGTAATTCCTTTTAAAATTACCTGTTTTATAAATGTCATTCAATTATATTTGTTATTTAATAGAAATATGAAATTAATTCAAACTAATACAGTGCGATCTAATTTCTTGCTCTTTTTTTCTTTTTATTCAGATCTTTTTTCTTTTCTCATATCTTTATAAATCATTTTTGGGGGGCTCGTACAGCTCATAACCATCCGTACATCAATTGTATCAAGCACGTTTGTACAGATGTTACCATCATTATTTTCAAAACATTTCTTTCTACTTGAACCCTAGGTATCAGCTCTTTTTTTTTTTTTGAGATGTAATTCCTTATGTGGCCAACTGTCAAAGATAAGCAAAAGTAATGATCAGTGGGGCATCGAGGATTCAAGGATGAAAGTATTTTCACATAGTGAAGGCCACAGCAGGAATGGGTGTGATCTTTCTGGATAAATGTTAGGCATCACATAGAATGAGCCCCCATGAAATCAAGGCCGCCACCTCCACTTCTAGAAATGCATCATAAAGAGGTGGCCAAGGCATACCCATTTAAATTGTATAAAGTGGGAAACAATCTGTAAATCTACCAAAATTTAGAAACATATTTTGACATTTCACATGGTAAAATATTTGCAACTACATTTGTAGATCCTGTGACAGTCTGCAAAGGTTTTTCACTATTTTCTTTATTTCCTTTGGTTATCGAAGTTGCCTGATTTGATTGAACATGCACAAGCTCCAGTCTCAGAGCTGCCATGGCGGGTAAAGTGAACCCCTCTGAGCCTCAGTTCAGCATCTATAAAATGATGAGGAATCAAGGATTGTTATGATGATTATTACAACAATGAGAAGCCATTTAAAATGCTTAAATCCATGTTGGGACCCTAAGCCCTCAGTAAAGGCGCCTTAGTATCTTATTAAGGTTTTCAATAGATAGGCACAATAACACCATGGGGTAAATAGCAAAGTATCTTCCTTTTGAAGATACAGAAACAGGCTAAGTTAACTGGCTCCAAATCAAAACATTTAAAAAACAAGAGTTTGGTGGCTTTGGCCATAATATCTGAGAACTGAACCAACTGTGTTGCAGAATCATTTCTTTTTAACTTCAGTAGAAAAGTAAAGCATGTGAATAGCAAGAAATAAATGCCAACTTCCAGATTTTTGTGTTTGCACTGAATTGAAAAATATTGTCCAACAATGGGCCTGATGGTCTTATGCAAACACAGACTGCAGGATAGGTTTTCTCATAGCTAGAAAGGAATGAAAAAGAAAAGACTGTTTTGACATTTTCAATTCATAATATTAAGGGATGGCCAAGTAATGAATAAGTGGCAGTTGTCCAAATAAAGAGCAAAGGCTGCGACGCAGCAGTTTTCCTGGCCAAGAAACTGAGAAACCAGCCACGTGGAAAGACTATTAAGTCGTCTCCTCGGCCCACTCCCATCCTTGAACACCCGCACGGTGATTGGAGTTCAAGTCAGTGTTGCTGATGTGAGCTTTTCTCGGATTCTCTTCCTTGTATCTCATTACTACCACACTACCACCAATTAAAAAAATGTCTGGTGCAATTCAAGTGGCATATTTTAATATAAAAACAAATTTAATATTCTTCTTTGTAGCTATCAAAAGCCTTATTCATTGCTGCCCTCCTCCCCAATAAAAATGTAGAGTGAATTTTTTAATAGGTTGGTTGTGATTGGATAAATCCAGTGCTAATTCCATGATGAAATCCATTGACCTCTGTGCTTTCTCGTGTGTCTTTTGTCTTATAGAAAGCAGAGATTGCTATTGCTCCTCTGACAATCACTTTGGTTCGAGAGGAGGTCATTGACTTCTCTAAGCCTTTCATGAGTTTGGGGATATCTATCATGATCAAAAAGCCTCAGAAATCTAAACCAGGAGTGTTTTCCTTCTTGGATCCTCTGGCCTATGAGATTTGGATGTGCATAGTCTTTGCCTACATTGGAGTCAGCGTGGTCTTGTTCCTAGTTAGTAGGTTTAGCCCATATGAATGGCACACAGAAGAACCAGAGGACGGAAAGGAAGGACCGAGCGACCAGCCTCCCAACGAGTTTGGCATCTTTAACAGCCTCTGGTTTTCCCTGGGTGCTTTTATGCAGCAAGGATGTGACATTTCACCCAGGTTAGTGTCAGAAAGCTTTCTGTTCATCAACCATCACCTAGTAATTCTAAGTTTTTTGTAAAACATCTTTGTCCACATGCTTTCCTGGGACATAGAAGTCTTAGGAATACAAGGAACCTGGTAATTCCCAAATGACCTGAAGTATGTTCATACTCAGTTTCTCCCAGTTTACCACAAAACACGATGGCATGCTAAAAATTTAGAGATATAGAACTTACGCAAACCATCAGAACTCTCAGAATTATTTAGTATCAATATTTTATTCAGTGGTTTGACAGATGAACACGGTAACCTAAGTTATGAAAACAGAAACTCATTTTATTTCATCTCCTTCTCAAAAACTAGCCTCTGTGTTATCGCTGTTATTCAATTTTTACAAGTAATCTTGAACTTAATTTTCATCCCACATACTTGAAGGGAGATTTCTGCCATGGAGTCAATATAGCGGGTACAAAATATACTTTGTTTAATATAATGACCCATAAGCGAGCTAGACAGTAAGCAAAAAATGAACAATGTTCACATTGTTTCATACAGAGATTTTTCCATATCCTTGGAATCATGGCTCCCTTTCTTTGGATGCCACCAAGACATTACTGGATCAGGTTTGTGAAAATGCAAGTCCATCTCTTGTTGGAGGGAAAAAAGCCAAACTTCTCCAATAGAGAAAATAGGTCCAGGCCTAGGAAACAAAGCATTGAATAAGTCACAAGTATAGGGTTTTTTGTTTCTATTTTTTAAGAAAAGTATGCTTTCTCAAAAGACAATCTTGAAACACAATGCAGTTTGTGTTCCTTCAGATCCAGGAAAACTATAAAGTGGTTGAAATTTCAAATAACTTAAGAATCTCATTAAATAACTTTTTGGTTAATGATTTGAGATGAAACTATAGCAAATCAAGTAATGGTTTTCATAAACCAGGATTAAGTGAATAGTAAATTAAAAGCAATAGGTGTTGGTTTTATATCTGTATCGTATAATAAAGGGGAAAAGGGGGGGACTTTTCTTTATTGGGACCTGAAGTGGTATATTATTAAGTGATTCCAGAAATTAAAAACAACTGAACCAAGGAATTTTCATTGTTCAGTAGTTCATGAAAAGATCAATTATGCATATGCTCTAGATTTTTTTTTAATTCAGTGCATCCTCACTTATCCGCATTCACTCATCTGAACACCCTTAAAAGCCAGAGGGGGAAAAGTGCTGAGAACAAGATGTCATGCCCATCTGTAAAGGGCATGTTAGGACATAACTCATTCTTTAGGTCCCTCATATTGTCCAGCCTCATTTTGGTGTATGCCTATTCATCCAGGTGAGTCTACTAGAAGCGTTAAAAACCGATGCTCTTCTTCAGTCTTAGAAAGACATCTGCAAGTTTTTATCAAAGTTAGACTCTATCCATTGTTAAGATTCATTAGTATTTTACAGGACCCTAAAAAAGAAACCCCCAGGGAAAAGAGGAGACTGCCTGCTCCCGTGATGGATTTACAGTCTCAGAAACTGAGTGGAGCAGTTCTCCTCCGCTAATCTAGGTCATGATGACTCAAAATCCACCCAGTAGCGGTGGGTGGGTTTAACGACGACATGATCCTCCAAACTGGACCGCGGGGCTGTGCTTCCCTCCTTCCTCAAAGGGGGGCTGCATCCTAATTTTAGACACGCTGAGCTCTGCTGGGGTTAGGGTATCGATGGGTTTAACGTATATTCCCCGTCTGTAACTAAAGGAAGTCCATGCTGACTGATAGCAACTCCCTGCGGGTTTCGAAGACTGTACTGTTTGCCAGAGTAGAGAGCCCCCCTGTCTCTCGTGGAGTGGCTGATGGTTCCAGAAGCCGATCCTGGTGAGGATCGCAGCCCAACTGCTAACCACTAATCCCACTAAAAAATAGAAGGGCAATCTTCACGTGTTTTTAGCGGTACATTAACTATAACCGAAAAAAAAATCAGATTGTTCAGAAACACGACCATCATTCTTGAGTAGTCTATCAGAAATTACATAGTGCAATTGTTCTTTTAAAGCACATGTTATATACACGTTTATCCACACGTAAAACAGCGCATGCTATGTGAAAACACGTGTTACTAAGGGTACATCTTATCTCTCCCTGCGCGTGTTAGTGAAAGGAAACTGTGCCTTACCCTATCCGTGTTCAGATCCCTCTCAGGTCGCATTGTTGGAGGTGTCTGGTGGTTCTTCACACTCATCATTATCTCGTCTTATACTGCCAACCTCGCGGCTTTCCTGACCGTGGAGAGAATGGTCTCCCCCATAGAAAGTGCCGAAGATCTGGCCAAACAGACAGAAATCGCCTATGGGACTTTGGATTCGGGGTCAACAAAGGAGTTCTTCAGAGTAAGTTAAAGGGGAAACTAACAATGAAATGTTCATAATTTTGAGATTCGGGCAATTTTGCAATTTTTTTTTCTTTTATTGTAGGCATGAAATAATTTCTTCTTTTTTTTTAATCGTTTTATTAGAGGCTCATACAACTCTTATCACAATCCATACATACACCAATTGTGTAAAGCACACTTGTACATTCATTGCCCTCGTCATTCTCAAAACATTTGCTCTCCACTTAAGCCCCTGGCATCAGGTCCTCATTTTTACAGTTTTACAATTTTATTGTCCTCTGTAGATATGGAAGGTTTCACATAGACAGCGTTCACTGCTACATGCAATGCTAGAACCTTGTCTTGGGTTTTATCATCAATTTAACCAGTGCCAAGGTACAATAACAAGGAAAAAGTCATTAGAACAACTTTGTATATGATTTACCAAGAATTCACTTGGTAATGATGGTACTGAATCTAGAAAGATCTATATAGACTTGGGAATGATAAAAACCAAACTCATTTCCCTGAGTCGATTCTGACTCATAGCAACCCCATAGAATAGAATAGAACTTCCCGGTGGATGCTAGAGACTCACTCTTGGGGGGAGTAAGATGCCTCAGCTTTCTCCAATACTTTGCAGTTAAGTGCATAAAATGAAGCAAGACTTTAAAAAAAGATTTAATTTGTAGCATTTGAAATCCAAAGCCTAATTGCAGATCATATTGTTTTGAAGAGTTACATTATTCTACATTTTCTCCGGAGCCCTGGTGACTTACTGGTTAAGAATGGGACTGATAATCGCAGGGTCAGCAGTTTGATACCACCAGCTGCTCAGGGTGAGAAAGATGACACTTTCCACTCCTGTATCGATTTGCAGACTCAGAAGCCCACAGGGGCAAGTCCACTCTTTCCCACAGAGCAGCTATCAATTGGGGTAGATTTTGTAGCCGTGAGTTTTTTGTTGTGCTTCACCTGTTCTCTAAGAGTGTGTTTTAAATGGACTGGCATAAGTGCCTTCTCACGAGATAATGGATATTGAGTTCTGGATGCCTCTGTAAGACACTACATAGTGTTTAGTTTGCATGATTTTCCTGCAAAAATCATTCAAAGCTGTTTTAATTGCATCTCACATATGACTGATGGTTTTAACTAGCCAGTATGGCAAAAAAATTTTGTTTAGCTTGTTGTGTTTTGGAGATGAATTTTTTAATCAGTGAAATAACTCCTCAAGTTCTGATTACATCCAGAGATTTACATTTAGTAATATCTGATCAGATACAGGGTGCATTTTATTGCTTCAGAACCAAGAGTTTTTAAAAAGGAATGATATTGTCAGGAATATTTTACTAGATGATAATGGAAATATTTTATTTGCCTACAGATTGAGATATATAATATTTTAGGAGACTGACTATATTTTGCTTTTTCCTAAGATTTTATAGCAAAGTAATAGTATTTTTTAAGCTTATGCTTATATAGACTATTTAAGGCACTAGATTCTATTTTAAATGTATACATCTATAACTTTCTTGCTCAACTTGAAAAGTGAAGACAACCAAATTGTCTCTCCCTTAAACCAGGTTTAACTTTTCATGTACTTGAATTTCAGTAAGGAACTTGTTTTTTAAAATAAGTTTTTATTGTAACAGCCTAATTGACTACAGATGTTTTACATGATATTGAATCAAGAACAAATAATTCAGAAACACAGTCAAACCCACTCTTAACAAAGTCTATATGCATAGAGTTAACCAAGTTCTTGTTAATAATTTAGTGTTATTAATAGACATAACCTGAAATTCCAAGTTAATTAAAAAGTATTTGTTATTTTCCCTAAAACTGTGACTTTAATAAAATAGATTTTTATTTAAAATACCCAATGGATAAACTTAATTAACAGACTTGTTTAATGTTCTGAGTGCATTCCACTCACTAAAATGTAATAAAAGAAATATGTGTCTTTTAGCTCAATATCTTTTAGCATAATTTCAATACCTTACTAGAAATTTATAATTTCATAACTGCTTCCACCCAAAAGTAAGAAGGCAAAATTTAATTTCTTCCAGAAAGCATTCTGAATATACATCAAAATAGGATACAACGTGGTGTTATCAATTGCATTTCAATGAAAAGCGATGCTTCCTTTTCATCAGAATAAAGTGTCTGTGCTGAGCTGCCATTCTGCCTGGAATGATGAGTTGGAAACGAAGTGTCATATCCCTGGAAGAAATCCAAAACAAGCCCATTTTAAAACTTTTTAACATCAAATACCCTGAAAAAAATGTTTACTTTAAGCATTTTTTATATTTAAAAGAAACGGCTCAAATTCCTAAACCTGGTGGGAAAGATAAGAGAAAACAGTGATAAGAAGTACAGGAATGAAGAAAGCAGCTTCCTAGAGTTATAGACTCCTTCCTCGGAAGCTGTGCTGTGCTTGCACTCCCCATGTGCACTCCTCATGCCCTCTTTCTTTCCTCTCTCACCGAAATTCAGTTGTAAAATGGGAAGGTTTTTAGAAGTAGAGATCTGTATTGCTGCAGAATACTTTGAACCTTAATGGGACAAGAAGATAATTTTCCCTGGCAGTATAGAATTGGGCATGCATAATTTGGGGTTCTCTGATAAAAACCTTATTCGTTGCCAACCCTGATTTCTCCCTCCTCTGCCCATAGATGATGACCTGGTTTAAATAAGCCATTTGTCTGACGGGTTGAGGAAATGGAACGTGAAGGGTATTTTTGTACTTGTCAAAAATGTTTTCTCATAGGAACACAGTCGTGGTACATCTGTCAGCTCCGCTAAGCTGCCTCAAGCAGTGGCCTATACTCAGTGTTTCAAAAATTGTCACAGTCATAATCAAATGGAAAAAGAATTAGACCACGGGGGAACATCCATCTAAATTTGACTGCTGCCTCAAGTGTGCCCCATTATAAAGCTGGATATGCTTCATGTTTTGGGCACCTTATTAATCATAAATAGAGTCATTTAAAGAAAGTTTGTGCTTGTCACTTAATAGCAGACTTAGTTTAGGTACTTTTACATTATTATACACTGTATACAAAGCACTGATTTTCATTTCACAGCAATTTTTATCCAGTGCCTTCTTCAGTCATCGATGAAATCATCAATGCATAAATGCATTAGATTGCTATCTCAGGGCTTATAAAATCTTGTCAGATAATGCATATATGAGTTCTCATTAGAACATCAGTCTTATTGCACAACTTACTGGAAGAAGGATATAACTCACCTAATTACAAAGTAAACTTAAATGATTATGTGTAACATTTCATCTTCTTTGTTCCTAGCAGAAATGACCCAGACTTCTTACTGGGGGAATTAAAAGGAGAGCACATTTTGTGAACTGTGACAATCATCTGGAGTAGTATAAAGCGCTGCTTTCAATCAAATAGTTTTTCACGCACTTGCTTTCACAGTGAAAAGGAAGCAAACAAACCTGAGGATAATTTTCTAATGTAAATAATAATAATAATTTGTATATAATCTGTTTTCCTACTTAGGACATAGTCACTCCCCAAACCTGATTTTTAAGTAGATGTCACAATTGAAGTTTTTAGGAACTTAAAGGTTCTATCATCACTGTCCTTGTGAGACTGCTGGCAGCCCTGGTGGCAGAGAGCTAAGTGCTTAGCTGCCAGCATGAAGGTCAGTCTTCCAAACCCACCAGCCACTCCACTGGAGAGTTATGTGGCAGTTGATACCCAGCTCGAAACTTAATCTCCCTATTGAAAAACAAGACCAGCATATCCATTTCAGAGCCACCAAATCTCATGCCCGACAGAGCTGGAAACAACAGTGTCCTGCTCTAAGATGGCAGTTGACCACAGCTTTGAATGCATGCACTTGTCACAGATCTGGCAATAATCCAATTTCTCATATCAGGATCCTGATAGAGCTAACTGTGCCTCTTCCAAGTCTTCTCTTCCATGGCTTAGATCTGTAATTTGTCCCATGCCGGTTGTCATTGCAAACATGCATGCTTCAAAAGTCTTGATCAGCCCAAGTTTCACTTTGTCAGCCGTGACTGAATTGGCCCAACACAGTTCTAAGTCTTGTGTCAAGATGAATAGCCTTGGGAACTCTCTAAGTCGCTGTGAATCAGAATTGACTGCACAGCAGTGGGTTCATGGGTAATGAACTTCCTGAGTCAACAGATATTTCCTCATTTTAGCCTAGCTTATCAAGTGTATAAGTAGATTGCCATCAGTTCTGACCAAGCACCTTCTTGTAGACCTAGATAAGGCACAGGGCTACCATTTCCAGTCCTCCTCACCTGACTTCTGCCTCCTTCACCATTGGTATGTGATCTTGTCTAAGCTATGTCTCTTTACATCAGAATTTCTCAGCATTTGTATGGTGCCAAACAACGCTAATTTTTCCTGTTTTTTTTTTCTTTATCTTTTCTCTGCTTTCCATCGGGAATCTATATTTTTCATTTTTAGTATACTTATGGCTTGCTAATTTTAGCATAATTATAGCATGTAGTATTTATTATTCTAGATATTAAAAGAATTAACTTAGCCTTTTAAAAAAAAACCTTTTGCACTATAGGTATACTTGATTCAATATATTTAAGTAATGCACATGTAAGGTTCTACATATCAATAGTATAGAAATGGACTTTTAAAAAGACATTTTACATTTATTTAAATAGAAAGTGAATCACGTGTTTTAATAGAATGTGTTTACATTCTAAAATTAAATTATCTAAATAATTACTAAGCCCTTAAAAACGTTTTTTATTTCCCTGTTAAGTATACTTTTAATAAGTTATTGAATGGGAAGGTTGCCCAATAGCTACCATAGATGTGAAGTTATGATTCTCATAGTCTTTTTAAAACTTTAGACAAATACTTTAACTCAATGTTTTGATAAGTTTTGTATATTCTGTTTGAATAGCATATACATAGTTAAATATATCATTTATATGACAATCTATATATATCAGGGGGAAATTCTCAATTAATAAGTATATAGACACATGATTATACATCTACAGGATATTGTTCACCAACATTTGTCTAAATTTGAGATTATCAGAACAGATCATTAACAGACACTCTTTACCAGGTGATCCAGAGAGTTTTATATTTTCAAAGATTGGAGCGTAAAACAGGTGGAACAGAGCTCTGTTATTAAAGATGAATAAGACCTGGCAACATAGTCTTGCTAGTGGACTTAGTGCTTGAGTGGTCCAAATCCCAATAGTCCGATGTCCTAGAAGCACATATGTCTTTGCGATCAGATCATAGTTATATATGGCATCTCCAGAATGAAGAATTCTGTAGCATAGCCAGAAGTGGCCTGGCATTATCTACACACTATGCATGTGCGCGCACACATGTATTTTTTAAATTATAAACTATTTTTTAAAATTTTAATGACATAAAACATTTCATAGCACTATAGAATGTCAATTTCCTACCTTGATAATGTATCAGCATTTGAATACACAAGAATGACATATATTTCTTGCATAGTATCCAACTATGCAAATCAAATACGGTATATGGTTCATTATTTGATTTATTGATTACAAATTTTTCACCATATGAAATCAAAATGTGAGACTCTACTTATAAAAGTTTTTAGTGAATTCCATCTTTAGTTACCTGAAAATTTTGCCTTTCCCCCAAAATACGTATTCATATGTTCATTATTCAGAATATTCATTGATTATTAAAGTGATATTTCTTGTTGCATTCTATATTTTGGTAAATAAATAAGCTCAATGTGAGTAATACATATGCTACAATGGTTTGGCCACACAGAGAAATTGAATTCTAAATTAAGTCTCCATTACTTTCTATTTGAATCAAGAACTAGGATTTCAGCATCTGGTAGGTTAGCAAATGCAGATGAAAGTTCTCTTTATATCATTGTATTATCAAGTATCACATAGGATTCCAGCTTTTCTATCGTACCGTATGTGCCCTTTGGGGGCAGTTGAATTCTTTAAGATATGTGTCACAGTGAAGTGTGTGTTGCATGAAAACTTTAATATGAATGCAGATACCAGCAAAAGAACTTTCGATAAATTGAAAAAGAAGGAGTAATGTACATAGAGCCCAAGTAGACAGAAGTAATTTAAAAATTAAAGAAATTCCTAGAATGAAGTTAGAGGATTAGAAAGAATAACGCCCCTACAGTATAAATATGGAACTACAAGAATCATTTCTGTTTTAAGCTCAATTTATAGTATGTTTAGAGAGCTTGACAGAAAAAAAGTCTAAACCTCTTGCTAGACTGGAATCTGATTGGTGTGTTACAGAGACTGAGTCTGTAAACGACAGCTGCCTTCTCCTCCACTGGTGTTCAATTATTGACCTAAGAATGCCCTTTGGGTGGATAGTAAAACGATTTTCACCAAAACCTTGAATCACAAAAAAAGATCAACAGAAAACCATATAATGTATTTGTTACAGCCCTGTACACAAAGAAGAGTTTGGCAGACCTGTAATCAGATCATATCTCATCTTTTTCAAGTTTACCTTGAAAACAGTACAAAACATGGTATGAAACATGGTAAACTCTTATGGCACCCTCCCTAAAACAGAAATTCTAAATGGTTATTTGAGGAGCTGAAGGTCCGTTAATACGGCATGAGGGAAAAAGGAATGAGCTGGTCTTCAAATATCACGGTGGCAGGTGTATGCCTTCGGGTGTGTCCGTACCTGGCTTTCAAAGGTTTGCTCGAATTTGAAAAGACCGCGGTCGCTATGGCAAAGTGGAGGTAGAGGGCCCGGCCTGGAGAGGGTCTGGGCGGTTTTCTCTCCTGCGCTTGATTCAGGCAATATTAACATGCTCTTCTCTTCTTTCCCGTATTTAATTTTATTTTCATTTCCTCCAGAGATCAAAAATAGCAGTGTATGAAAAGATGTGGACGTACATGCGATCGGCAGAGCCGTCCGTGTTCACTCGGACGACCGCGGAGGGAGTGGCTCGTGTCCGCAAATCCAAAGGCAAATTCGCCTTCCTTCTGGAGTCCACCATGAACGAATACATTGAGCAGCGAAAACCGTGTGACACGATGAAAGTGGGAGGCAATCTGGATTCCAAAGGCTACGGAGTAGCAACGCCCAAGGGTTCCTCATTAAGGTGGGTGGAATAGTATAACAATATAACATGTGTTGTTATAGTATTCCACCTTCCCTGATGTCCCTCAGAGAATTCTTTCGTTTTGTGTGTGAACATGCTATGTTGGTTGGTTTGTGTTCTCTTTCTCCATTTTCATTTTTTTTTTCAGTCAACAATCAGGTAATTTTTTTTTTTTAATTTCAGAATGGTTAATCAGAGTTGACATATATCTTTAAAGGCCATATAAAAACCAAACTGGTTCACCACTTGCTGTTTCCAGTGGGCCTAAGGCAGGGCTAGCAGACGCTTGCAGAGCTCATCAACTTCATCAGCCGCCCAAACCTACACTGCCATGGTGTCAGCAATACTTCTCTTTGAACTTGTGACTGGCCGCTAGTGTCTGAAGGAGAAGTTAACTTCTTTCTTCCTGGCGAGCCACTGGTTTTGTGTCTTTGTTTCCCATTTCAGTGTTTCCTTTATTATGGCATCTTTCTATTTTTGGATTGCCCTGAGATGGTATTGATACTCATTTTGACACCACATCCATTTATAAAAGCCATCATGAGCAGAGGGGGCAATGGGCACTGGTTTTATGGTCCTTACTCAAGTCACACTCCCACCAATTTCAAGGGAGTATGGAGTAAGTAAGATCTGTAAAATTAGACCCTGACAATGTAAGCATGTTTACAGCTAGGACCTGAAATATGATTCATGAGCAGAGCCTTCAGCATACCGATAACAAGCTACATGGACTAAAGGGGAAGCTTTCATTCTTACGGAAATGTTGGTAAAATCTGCCCCTTTTCACCTTCTCGGTCCTGGACATAGAGAACGCACATGTTTATGTCCAGGAGGCAGAATTTCCTATTTTCCTTAAGCAATAAAGCTTCTCTGGGATTGTGACAAGCGACAAGTTACCCTGGTCAAAGTACTGCTTAGGAGAGACTCCCAGAGAGCACAGGCTCAAGAAGAAACCAGAATCTTTATTAAAGGAGTTGACCAAAAACTTGGTCTTGCAAAATGATGTCTCTGGTAAGCCAGTGAAAAATGAAGGTAATGAGACCCGTTCTGTCACCCAGCATAAGTGAAAAGCCAATCTAAAAGCTACAGACTTCTTTTCATTGGTTTCAAATAGGGAACCTCGGTGTTCCTAGGCTTGTGTGTTGAGTGAGTGAGACAGACCGGGGAAAGTTTGGAGAAACAAATCCTCGGCCAAAAGAAAGGGTGTGTTAAACTAAGGGTTTGTGTTTGCAAGCAACACGGATATAATTAAGTAGGGTGCTATGGGATGGTACAAAAGGGAGACAAGATCAAACTATACCACTTAGTAAAGAGATTTGGGTGTAGCTGCCAATTTTGAAATCAGACTTATTTTAACGTAGATCACATATGAAACTGGAGAAATGTGCAGGGAGAAAGCCAAAGTTATAAATAATCCATAACAAAATTCTGCTTGAAAAGATTCCAATCATTCCAAAACGTAAGTTGACATCACAGAATTTTGGAGTCTATGAAGGTTCATTTTGTTTGGGAAATATGTCACTTCGTGACGCGAGATAGCCAGTGAATCTCAATTGGCGCGGTAGAGATAAGAGTACCTTCTATAGGCCATTTAAAAGAAATCGAAAGGGAAAAGCCATGGTGGTTTATATGCGGATCAGTGTTCAGGCGATTGATTGCATTCACTTGACGTTGCTTTTGCTCTTAATTAATTTTCTGTGGCTGTAGCTGCCTTGTCCTCTGTCTTGTGTCTGCTGATAAAGTCAAGCTCCAGGAGCTGAATTTGGCCCTTAGATACGGGTGCGACTGATCCCCATTGATGGCAAGAGAGTTCCCTCTTAAATGTGCCACTTTGTCAAATCCACACTACAGGGATTGTTTGGGGAAAGCTGAAGGGCTTCATCTGTTTAGAGCTGTATAATCATCAGCCATTGACTTCCTCCTCTTTTCCTGTCCTTCCCGGGATCTTGTTAATGAGGCAATTGTTCAACTCGGCTTCCTGGATGGAGAGCTTGTGTATGCGCTTTATTTTATCCGCGCCACAATTTCCTGAGCGGGCTGGCCCCTGCACTCCAACCCAGTCATTTTCTCCTGCCTTTCAGAATATTGGGAGGGCGCTGAAGCTAACCAGCATCCACCTTACCACCACCCCCAACCCCTCGTGCCCCCTCATCCATCTAAGGCAGGTGACTTATTAGGTTTAATTTCTTGTTCCTATGCTAACAAGATTCTTTTGTTTCAAAGGAAACAAACTAATGTAGGGCTGGACTCATAGGCATCTACTGTGTTCATTGTACTGTAGGAGCAAATTCAAAATAACCGCATTTATCCATTGGGCATTCTGTATCAAGAGTGTCTTTTAAACCTTCCTACATTGTTTATTCGGTATTGAGTCTTTTTTCCTATAAACTGTATATATTTTTTAAAATAGGTCTTTAGGTCAGTAGCTCCTGATACCGTGAAACTTGCTCGTTTCATTACCATCAGCTGCTCATTAGCTATAACTGTCTCCCAAACACTACTGTTTTGATTCTTTAGGGGATGTGGAGCTTTAAGGAAAGAAAATGGCAGTTGTTCTTTCTATGAACGATTCAGCAGAGAGTGCTGGGAAATAACTAGCAGTCTTCCTTTAGTCTAGGGGGGTTTGGCCCCACTGTTTGGTCAAAAGATTTTCAAACAAATGTCATAGAAAATGGAAAAGAGTGTGATATGCAATTAGAAGGTTAAGTCAGATCCTAGCCTTTAATGTAGAATTTAAAATAAATGTACTCTGGATCACATATCTGTGGCGGGGCTAAAAAAAATTATAACAGTAATGAGTCCCATCCATCTTTATGGTAGAAAAAAGCTCTTTATTGTTTCAGGAGAGTTTATTATAGATTAGCTTTTTTTTTACTTGCTAGACATAGAAATTGAATTTTTTTTTTAAAGTATTGAAGAATGACTAGCAGTTCTCAATTACAGTAGGTAAATCATAATACCGAGAGATTGCAGTTTGTGGGCCCCTGGCAGATACTTCCATTTTTTAGGTGACAGAATGATATCAAGTATATTGATAATGCTAAACTTACTATCCGTAAATTGGAATATACAAAGAGAAACAAAGACATATACCCCAAAACTATAATTGTCCATTCATGAAAACACTTCAATCTTACCAGCATCCTACTTGAATTTTCAAAGTTACTTTCTAAAAGAAAAAGCATTCAGGCTTACTGTGAGGCATAAAGACAAAATCTCTTTCCTTATATTATCGCTTGACTATCTCGATAATTTGATGTTCCTCCAGAATCTCTCCACACCTGCAATATTGTTTATGAAATAAACCGTTTCAGATATAAGACAACTATTGTGTCAAGAAAAGAAATGGGGGGCAAAAAGGTTTCAAATGAAAGCAGTTCCCAAAAACTTGCACCAAGGGGTGAGATCTGGAAACAACGAAGTCCAATTGGTCTTGACGATGCCAGATCCCCCCCACCACCACCACACACACACACACACACACACACAAAGGGCATCCAGAAAAGTTGCTACGCACGTGCCCCTTGACGTCAGTCGGCTTTTGCGCCCCTGGCGCTCTGCAGGTTCCTGATCGCCATTGTCTGGAGGGTGCCTCCCCTTCAGGCTTGAACAAGTAAAGGCACCTTTCATCTCCTAGTAAAATTCTTTGAAAACATGTTTGCGATCATGATCCAACTAGTTTGAAATGTCCATCGATAGTTTAGTTTTGCTCTTTTCTGCAGCTAATTGGACACAATAGCTTGGGCATCCATTGAGTGGAAATTTGCTCAACTTTAATGTTTTAGTCAGAAATGTGTAAGCGGAACGAACTGAGATGTCGAAGGTGTTGGACATGGCTTGTTAATCGTCGGTCCTCTTCGATGAGGGCATGGACATGATCGATTCCTCAACGATGGATGCGGGCTCCTTATACTTTCATTTTCAAGGTCATCTCCTCCCTTCTTAAAGTGAGTTTATTTGTAAACTGTTGGTTTCTTTGGGGCATTTTCCCCATACACGTTTCATAAAGCACCAATGATTTCACCATTATTCCACCCAAGCTTTACAGTAAATTTCACGTTTGCTTGAAGGACAAATTCTAGAAAGATTTTCCGAAGAATTATCTATACTTTATAGAGATCAGATTATTTCCGTGATGGCACACAAGTAACATTAATGCAGAGCCTATATATATTTGAAAACATAAATTATAGCTAAGATCAAAGTTCATAGTCCATTAATAAATGTGATTAAAATCTAGTTATGCTTACCCTACATTAGTATTTAAATTCTCTCTCTCATTCTGTGTGTGACGGGATGGGGGTGGAGCTTCAAAAAGTTCATGAAAAATAAGATAAAATGATAATAGAATTTTTCCAGGAACTTTGTAAGTCCTTCTCATAGGTTTAGTAGCAATACAGGTTCCATAGTATAGCACTTATCATTAGAGCGGATGGGCTTCAGGAAAACACTGCAGCTCTAATGCCCAGCTGTCGACTAAGGAAGGCAGGGGGGCCGGAACAAAAGCGCAGGAGGTTCTCTCTGTATCCGATTCCCCATTCAGCCAAGGTGGTAGAAGCTGAAACAAAAGCTACAAAGCCCCTGGACTAGAGGGCGACCTGTCTTCCTGAGAGTACCGCACAAGTAGCATAGGCACGTATCAGTGCGAAGACAGAAGAGTAGTGCAAAGCCTGGAAAGGAATGCCGAATCAAAAAGAGTGGGGTATGGAAGTAGGTGGTGGAAGGGACATATATCAGAATTATAAATCCTAGAACTAGAAATATAGCAAGAGCAGCAGGTGTAAGCATCCCGGGAGACCTATATTAACCCATGTTTGTCTATTGTAGTCCAATGTGTGGGCATGGTTATTCTTAGGTGAAATTAGAATGTTATATGTAATGTTCCAGTGATAAGAGAAACATCTTTCACCCAGAATATTTTATATATAAGGTTTTTCAACCACGCCCAACCCTACATGCCTGACAGGCATGAGTTAATGGACAGGCATTACAGACTTATA